AACTTTGACCCGCCTTGCGCAGGGGGCAACCGTTCCAAAGGTGACGGGTGTCTTCACAGACAAAACACCGTCGTGTGCGTGTGTGCTGCCCATCAGCTCGGAACTCTGCTCCCTCGTCCTCAGCATAGCTGAGATCCATGGGCACAGGCCCGCTCGACGAGCTGCTGGAGAGTGCATTCCAACCAAGACGTGCCGACTTTAAATTAAATTCGGCATTCAATGCCACATTCACCGCTTCTTCAAATGAAGACGGATGGTCACGGAAGACTTCCATTCTGGTCACGCCAGTGCGGATTTCACACGCGCACACATAAGTGCTAGGTCATTTGTACAGCTTGGGACGCCAATAGTGACAACCCACCGAGCTGTACGTCTGCTCACAACCAAGACGACCACTGATTGGGGCGTCGTAGGCCTCATACAAAATGCGGTATTTCAAATCCCCATCGTGAGGAGCCACAATTTGTGGCGTATCCGTCGAATCGACGCTATAATAAAGCAGCACATTATTCAGCAAATATAGGTGTAACCGCGCGCGCAAACGCGCCGACAATTTCTTGTTCGAGTTGCATTCTAAGCCTGTGGTAGCGCTTTACACATACCATCGTTCGCGTATACAGCGCGGATAAAATCCGTATCTGACGACGTAACCATCGTGAAATGAGCAAGCTTTATTCCGGTCTGCGTGAAAATGCATCAGCCAAATCATTATGCTTTTCTGGATTATACTTCACCTTCGGCAAAGAATGAGAGCCACCTGGGCATCCTTTGCGAGAGGTGAGACAACTGAGTCCAGTGCGTAATGACGCATGATCTGTGTAGATCACAAACGGCTTTGAACCATGCAGAAGCACCCTGAAATTAGCAAGTGCATACTTCGTCGCAACTAATTCATTGCCGTGTACTGGTTAGTTAGTTCTGCAGCCTTAAGCAGGCGAGATTCAAACGCGATCGTCGAATCTCGCCCCTCGGCGTCTGTTTGCAGCCGATGGCAAAGTCCGATGCGTCACAGACGACACAAAAAGGACGATCGGGGTCTGGCAACGCCAGTATTGATGAATGAAGGAGGCTATCGCTGACCCTGTCAAAAGCCTCCCGATGCTCGGTGTTTCTACGCTATTATGGGTCCTTCCAATCGATCCATAGCTCATGTTGTTCCAACCATGCGATACCAAGGATAAGTTCATAACATGAATCCAAGTCTAAGACTAAGCAGCGGTCCACGCTATCAAAGTCATGAACTTGACATCGAGGTCCAAAGGAACCCTCGGCACAGTGACACAAGTCCTTGTCGATAAGCGATCAGTTGCGGTGTCACTCAACCGCTCTTCCAGCGCCTCAGAATACAGCTGAATTCCTTCGATCGTGGAGTGTCGAGCAGATTGGTTATACGCGGCGCAAGCGTTAAGAATCTTCCATGGCTTCTTAAATATATTCACGCTCGCTTTTACGACCATCAAGCCCGACTTATAGAGCACGGAGCTCTCCGGAGCTGGGTCCTCCTACCCTCCACCTTTTTGAGGCTCACAGGAACTCGAATCTTCCCCAGTTGGGTACCCCACGCCTACTGGGTTTTATCGTTTCCTTTTGACAGTCGAGACTGTAAAGAAGCAAAACGTCGGTTCAATGAACCTTAACGCAGGAAAACCAGTTCGAAGGTGACGGGTGTATCCACAGACAAACCACCGTCGTGTGTCTAAATTCTGCCCGGCAGCTCGAAGCTCTCATTCTTGTCTCGTAGCATAGCTGAGTCTTTTGGTTCAGGCCCGCTCGCCTTCACACCTTTGAAAAACAAGGTGTTTTACGCTCTCAGGGCACAGCAGGGTTATCAGCCTTTTAAGCTGGCCCTGTATGCCCTAATATGAGTATTGCTTCATCCTGACAGAGGATTAGTCAGGCGTAGATTGACTACGAGGGCTATCAAGTGTAGCGGGGCTGCCGTAGTGCCTTGCTTAAAGAAAGCTAAGCTATGGTCCCGAACCTTTCATTCTTTACAAGAACCAGGACGAGTGTAGCGAATCAGCACCCCAAAACCTTGACCAAGGCAAATGAGCTCTTCTGTTCAAAATTGGAACGGTATTAAATTGTTTAGTTGCGGCAGAGCCGCCAATATCCAAAACCAAATAATTAATTAATATTGTTATAACTCCTTAATATGTTCTACTACTGGCAATCCTGCCACGTAGTGGCTTCATGTTACGGTGAAGCCACACCATTGGGTGATCACACCACCTTGAGTAACCCACACCTGTGTACGGTCACACCGTCTTGTATTGCTCGCTCTTTCATACAAATGTACGTGTAACTCCGTTAACATACACTCACGTAAGACTTGTTATCGGTCCTTCCACCTGTACAATCTCCCGCATTTGTTTATCATACCAGCTACACACAACATACATTGAACTTGTGCATTACGTGCAACATTTGTAAGCCGACTCGTGGTTTGTGCACCGTGCTGGGCTTTTGCCACGGCAATTAAAAGAAAAATTATTTAAATTCAGCCGATATAACGGGAAACAATCTGCAAATAGTAAAGCTTACTCTTGGTGATATCAAATTGTTGAAAGAGCTTGCTTATAAAGTATTTATCGGGTAAAGTGATTGGCGTAGTAGAGTAAGTCGGAACAGCGAGTGATACAGATTGGGAGCTAGTATGCACTTATGGCTCGCAACACACACTTTTCATATGTGATTTCGAGTTTTAATGGTATCTGACAGTCGGCTTGGATATTATTGGGTTGTAGACTGCGTATCTTTTATGACATAAATCCCTTATGCCCTAGTCGAAAATGTGGAATCAGAGTCAAATCCTGTGTTTTGTTTTGCTTAATAATATTTGATTTTTGTTTCATGATGTGGTGTATCATGTCGCGGAACCTTGTATTTCCAAAATCATGTTAGCGTCAATGATGCTTCGTACGCCAAGGTTCGCATCACCAGTTACTCGACACCACATTGGATATGTCAGCCCTATCTCAGGGCTCTTCTCATTTAAATGCTAGTAAAGGCGGAAATGTGGTATGGCTATAACGAGCCTTCGTATAACACAATCTGTGCTCTTGCCCTTCCAGGATATTAAGAGTATGGCTATCTACAATTGTGAACTGTAAGACACAGCGGCGCAAAAAAATAGGCATACATATTGAAGATACTGTGTGTTTTCGGGTAGAATAATAGCGTGATTACCGATGTGTGCTAAATTAGTACTTCAAATTTGTCAATGGTAATTTTAATAATTTCTCAAATTAGGTAGAATCATGAATTGTCTCAGAAATGTCTTAAAAAGCTGATATAATTGTGCGCATTTATGTATCAGTATTATAAATGCTGCTCTATAAATAAAGCATAGAAGCAGCATTTGTATTGGACTACTTAAAAATAAGTTTTTGATCCATTAATTTACTATATAGTTGAAAAGCCTTAATAGGGTAGAATGGCACAACTGCCAGAATGTTCGAATTAATTTATTAAATTTTTTATTAGTTTCTATATGAATTTTGCCTTTAACCTACTGTCAGGTATTCTAGATTGAAATATAAGCAGTAGAACATTGAATATAACCTTATGTAGCCTCACACACAAGAAATTTGTACCAAAGAAGTAGTATATTGCTTTGAGAAAAATCGAAAGAGAATAAAGTGTTAAGCTGTAACTCATGTCATAAATTGTCTTGAATCATAATCATTTTGGGATAAGTCAATTATGAAACATTTCTTTGAGCAATTCGAAATATCCCAAAGCATATAGAGAACGGTTTAAACGCATGATCATAGCTGTCAGGCCTTGTCAGACCAAACGACTCGCTCGACGTGCTGCAGTATTACTGGTACCGATAATGTACAGCATCTCTGCGCAACACAATCAACACAATCGCATTGGCCGCGGCGCTGTGCACGTAGAATTATTCGCCGCCTTGACGACGTGTACTTTATATAGTGCTGTATTATACGATTGTACTGGCAAAGAAGACATCATATTTGGTCGGTGAGCTTTGCTAAATTCAGCGTAGCGATGCTTTTAAATCAATATTAAAGTAAATTAAGCGGTGCGCTTGGCGGGGTAAGGTTATACTGCTAAATTTATACATATTAGATATAGGGCGTAAATTAGGGTTGGACCCAAAACATGGCCGTTTCAAGTCAGTCTACAGGCCACTCGTATCCCCGGGCACCGCATAAACTGAAGTTAACAAATCAAACTAGCAAAGCGCCTGTAACAGGAGTTTCCTGTCCGTGTATACACGCGAGCAACACGCCTCACCGCGTGTTGCTCGCTTCCCGCGGAAGGAAAGGTAAAGTTACTTTTATTTTTATAGCCAAATGGCTTAAACTCAGTTCTGATAAAACGGAACAGAAAGGGAATATTCAAACACAAAAAGTATGTGATCCACACAGTATGTATGGGGCTCCCCAAATTCTGCAAATTTTTCTTAGCTCTTCTTCCGATTCTTCTTTGGACTTCCCTGTAGACTTCTCTTCAAATTTTTCTTCTGCTCTTCGTCACAACTGTCGTTAGCGCGACAACTCACACATTTACTGCTTACGGTGGATATACGACAGTCATTGTGTATCCGCTTCATAGTGATGATCAGCCGCAAATTTTGGAGAATTTTTAACAAAACCGTTAATTTGAGGTTGTTTTAAGTGGGAGCATAATTCAAATCAGTTGAAGTCATTGGTGACGCGAGGGTTTCGATCCATAAAACGACCGGTTAGACTTATCCTGAATGGACCTGATAGCATTGGCTTGCCCGCTGGTCTGAAAAGACAATAGACTTAAGTCTGTACATAGGAGTCTATGCATGTTACTTATATTAGCCTGGTATGTCGTGCTGTGTCAGCGACAAAAATAGCAGTATGAAGTATGACAACATATATGTGCTACATCTGCCACTCGAGACGCTTCGAAAGAAATGCTACACCGTGTCGAACCTGAGCAGACGTCAAGACATCCCCAAAATTGTTTTTACGAAAATGTTGCACATCGTACCACAAACAACTTTTCGCCGACCGTGATGAAATTTGCCTGGGTGGGTTTTGTATCGCTACATCTCCTGTGTTTTCTGTACTTCGCGTTCGCCACCTGGTGCTATTGGCATTTACCGAATACCCGTCTGGACGCATGGCTATCTATGCTTTACATTGGAATGGGCACTGATTATCATCATACGACCGCGTTGCTGTTTGGATCGGTGGCTATCGTTCATGCTTCCTATATTCTATGGATGATAATGTGGTCTTGCTGGAGAAGAAGTTTGGTTTTCTCCATCAATTTTAAGATCAAGCTTTTAGGTCAGGTCGAAGGAATCGGCGAAGGCTGGCGTGGTGTCGGACCAGTAAGGCATGGATTGTCATGGATGTACCGTGCAGTCTTCACGCAAGATGGTTTTTTTGGAGTGGATGGACCAAACTTTGACACTATTTTGCTAGTGAGAGAAATACTGGAGACTGCGCTGCAAACTCACCAAGCGTATCGAACTAGTTTGCTTGTTCCACGTAAATGCGTCAATCGCATCTTTGCAGCGCTGCTTGTTCTTAATTGTTGGACCACAGCACTTGTGCATTCATGTTTTCATGAAAATGCAGTGAAACGACGCCTTGTGGCGCTTGCTTGCGACAGCTTTCTTGATTTTGTCTCATCGATGGGGATCAATATGATACTGGTGGCGGCGTATATTCCGGATTTTGATTTTAGCAATTATGGATTTCCCTATTTAAAATGGTACGAAGACAATTGGAGGGTTAATGCAATGAGTGAGTTTCAAATGCTGTTTGTGGCCTCGTGGGTCGACATTATTTTGCGATTGATCTTTGCTTTAAGCATGCTTGGAAACTTAAACAATATGAAGAAGCTTATGCGTGTCAAGCCAGTGAATGGCTCCGAATTCGTAAATTGCACTTTAAGACGTGGAGGAGCTGTTGTCCCTTTTGATGGGATCTCGTCGAAATTTATGAGTAGCGTTCGTGAAGTGGATCGACATTTCTTGCACTACTGGATTGATAAAATAAGGCAAACATTTTTCTTACTGTGGGGTTTTATCGTATTAGCTCTGCATCTATATGCCGAGATAATGCCTGAGTTGTCACAATGCACGATGCAAGTAAAGCCGTGGTGGACTTCTCGAGCCTCTTGCTCGTTGCTTGAATTGAATTGCTATAGATCAGGATTTAGTGGAGATAAAGCTGATATCATGGCGCAATGGAGTTTATTCGATCCTTCGACAGTAATGCGTGTTGTGATACGTCATTGTCCTTCGCTTGAAATTCCTGTGACCTTGACTCATTTTGTGGGATTGAAAGAGCTAAAAATTTACAACTCCACGATTTCAAACTGGGACAATGAAGCGGCTATTGCTCAATCCTATCATCCAGAACTTACGACGCTTTTTCTTGTGCGTGTTGATTTGCCGAATGGTGAGCTACCTCTCGGGCTTCTGGCTGAGGACTTTCCTCAATCAATTGAGGATATCGAATTGTGTGTCACAAATTTGCACTCATTACCTGAAAATCTTGACATGATATGGCCGCAATACGCAAGCATTTATCTTGAAGCCTGTCAGTTTGAGCAAGTCCCACCGTCACTGGTACGTCTTGCTCCATTTGACTTATCTTTGTCGTTAAATCCAATCTCGACCATCCCAAAAGAACTTTTTGAATCCGAGACAATCGCATACCTCAATTTTGGCGGAACCTTAATTTCAGTTCTTCCTGAAGAGGTTTTGAAATTAGCTCAATCAGTGTACGACATCAATCTGCGGGATACCAGCATTTCTTTTTTCTGGTCATGGATCGATCCGTTGGCCATAATTCCGACAGATATTCCATGGGTGTCCGCTGGAAGTACTCCTTACTGTATAGATTTACAACGCATTTTTGATAAGCAACAAGAAGATTTCTCCGTTTTGCCACCCAGTCGTGCCGAGGCATCGATTTTGCAAAATGCTTCCATTGATAATTGGGCTGTTATCAGCAATGCCATCTCTTGTGAAAAACTGAGTAATTTGTGGTATCCTTTAGAATTTGAAGATGAATACAGCAAAATTGTTTGAAAAAATATTTTTCTTGACGTTTGAACGCGAGGTTTAATGCATACAGGGTCAGAGGTGACTTTTGAGTACGCGACTAGTGTCTATTAGTAAGTCTGGGTCAGCTGACTACAAACTACATTAGATTACTTCAGCAGACCACGGCATTGTCTTCGCAGAAAAAGATACTTGCATTTAAAGCTAAACATTTATAGCTCTTCAAATAATGATAGCAAGCCTATAGATAAACGCTGCTAAAAGTATTTTGCCGGAAATCCCGATAATGATCTCGCGACTAATGACATGTCATGATCTCCAAATGGCGTGAATGATCTTCAAAGGAGTAACCAAGGCGGTTTTAAAGACAAATGTGAAGCTTAGTCAAGGCAGTGACAATTTTGATTAGCCTGTTGCTGCTGTACATCAACACAATCTATCACTGCACTTTTGATAGCTGCAAGGCCATTCTAACAGACTTAAGATATATTGCTATGAATATCATTTCATTTGATGTAGATTAAAAGCTCTTACATTGCAAAAATCCGATGTGTGTTTATCGGAAATTACTGTAAGCTTGTATGTAATGTATAAATTCACATCGCACTTTGGTGCAATTATGAGTGTTGTTAAGTACCGAAGTATCGATATGTATGAAACTAACAGCCAAGGCAACCCAATACTGTGGTGTTTCTCCTCACTGGTCGCATTGATCCTGCGTATATCGTTCGGCCCTTTGAAAGAAGTTGTAGGTAGTTTTAACTCCATCCACAGTCGATCTGCCTAGCTGCACCTATCGTTGACTTTGACAGCAGGATCAGGCCATAATCTTTACAACGGCAAATGCTTCAACCGAGTCACCTCCGCGACCACCGTCACGCCCATCGCCAAGCTCGGCGACGCCACAAGATGTAGAGCGACGCCAATCGCGGCAGACAGGACACCAACAATCAGCTGCTAGGCAACCTGCACCACGCTGGGTGCCTGACGACTCTCAATTCAAGACAAACCTTGAATTTTTTCAACGACAGCTCAACGAATCAAGAACGTCGATTTGCTGCATTTGCCGCGGTCCTTACGCCAGTGGCTGCGAAAATTTGTACGAACATGTGGATTCCGGCTGCTCGTCTCACCGCCGATATTACGCAGGACGAAATCTTTAGCTGGCTTCCTTCTGTAAGTAAACCTGCGGTATGGCGAGAGTGTCTCGTTTACCTCCGCGACTCCAAGCGTACGCGCGCCGCGGCATCTCGTTGGTCTGCACGTCGGATGATACCTTGACGAGGCTGTGCAACTTGCAGCTAATGGTATGTGGCATCAGTGTATCGATTCGTAAGTATTCGAAACACGACAAACTGTACTTTGTGGATCTGACCCGTCCTCAGAAATACCGATCAAGCAATTCACGACACTGGTTTGTGGAAAAAGAAGCCAGACCTGTTCTAATTACTTATGTGCATGGTCAAGTAAAGTCCAGGGGATGCATTGTATACTTTAACAGTGTTGGTTGTCCTGTGGGGCTTTTTGAATCTCCCTGGGAACCTTTTCGGGAGATTTATTGCGACTCAGAAGAAAAGCCGTGCTTTGTGCAGCACAAGCTGCGCATTTTTAATCGGGTAAAGCCGCCATCCTTACGGCCTCACTCTCGTCGATCGACTGAATCTTCCGATGCCAGAATGAATGGAAGAGACGTCGCCGCCGAGCACCAAATTGCAACCCATGACCTCGGCGAGCCACAAGTTGGGACACGGGCTCCAATAGACCTAGATGAATCATTCGCTCATGCAATGCTCATCGGTCGTGCCTCTACTCGTACTAGGACTAAGATGAAGCGCATGATCGCTGATGCTGTTCCGGAAGGCGCACTGGAAACTCGTTTTAGCACTCGCAATACGGGATCATCGATTGCGACGGCGGCAAGTACATCGATCCAACCGGCCTTGTTCCCTGCGAGTTGGAGTGTAAAGCGGAAGGCCATAATCGCTGGTGTTCTATTTTCCTGTATCCTCAAATTGCCATGACATTCTTCAGGATGAGGAATTTGATTCAATCCTCCCACCTGATGTTGATCTGGAAGCTGATGAGCAAGACGAAAATGACGACGGCATAGTCACCCCAGTTTCTGGTTTAACTGCTTCGTCTGACTTTTACCGTATGAGGATAAGGCTCGTACACTGAAAAGTGTCCGTACCCTCGCTCTTAAAGTAGAACAATTCTCGATAGAAGAACTTCAACATGTCATCGAAGAGTTCATCGAACAAGATGTTCTCAAAATGACATTTCACGAAGACGTTCTGGCAGCTATCCAAGCGCAACCTCCTTATTTTCGACGCATCTTTTAGATTCCTTCCTATCGTCGAGACCAACTGTTTCGAGCGCACGCGGTGTATCGTGCAATCTATGCGGAGCCCTTCACTGACAGTGGATCTTTGAATATCGACGTTCGTTTGAGAAAATGCTATGACGTTGACTCAGTTGATGCTGCCACCTTCGTCGAGACTATGTTTACAAGTAGTGGAGTTCAAGCCGCTGCGGTACACAGTGCAATCAGTGACTTGTTCCTGATGGTCTTGCGCCAGGTATATATTTCGGTCTAGTGAAAATCCAAGCTCTACTTGGACCATTACTGCCCCCAACGTCTTCGTCAGTCCCCGTTTTTGCTCTGGAGTGACCTTAATCTCCTCTGTTTGGCTCGAACTATGCGGTGAAGGTCTTTGTTAACGACAATCGTACGCCCCAGTACGTGCTTGTGGTACTTGATGATTTAGCAACTATTTCTTTGCCTAAAACGATGGCTAAATTGCCTCTACATTGGTGAACCCCTGCCTCTACATATGCGTGGACAAGTAATGGAGTCTTGCTGAACGCGAATGGGTTAAATATAGCCAAGCTCGACACGTATCAGCGATGCATCAACTGGTCGCGCTCCAAGAGTCAAAATTCAACAAACAAGACTCACTGCAAACCAGCAAACATTATATTCACGTTTCTGACTCAGGAGTGCGGTTGTTTTGGTCTGACGTCACGTCTCCTGTCTTCAACGAAAGATATGGCGTAGGACTGATATTGTCATCGGCCTCACCGTTTGGCGAAGTTGAAGACCTCACTAGTCAAATCTACAAGGACCAATCACGCAATTGATATTTATTACTCAAGTCCAAGATTGGTACTCAGACGGTGTATATACATGTTGTTTATGCACCTGATGAACCCCCACGACGTGGCGTTTTTTTTTCGTGCACTTCCCGCTCAAATCATTCCCAACGACTCGGATAAAGACTGCCAAGCGACACACATTGTTATGGGTGACTTCAACGTCACAATGGACTCATTTCTGGATCAAGCTTCACCTTCCCAGTTGCATTCGGACACTGGTAGAGAGGAACTGGGCGATTGGCTTGACGTGTTGTGCTTGATCGACGTATGGCGCTTCGTGCATCAGGATAAAAGGACTGCGCAAGCCCAACACGCAAAAATCGTCTTGATTACTGTTTTTAATAGCTCATCTAGTACAAGGACAAGATGAAAAAATCATCTCGCTGCGATCAAACATGTACGGGATCGAAAGTGACCACATACCAGAGGGGTTTCGCCTACAAGCGAAGTTTATGCCAACAATGAGACTCGCACCGTGGCGATGCCCCACATGGCTTCCACGAGATCCGAATGTCATCACATACCTTACCTCGTCGGCGGAGCGACTGGCGGCACGTATTCGAAATCTTGAAGGCGCTTACCCAGGGTGTCTTCTGGATGAACACAAACGCCGATTGCATGCATATTTAAAGCCGATGGGCTGAACTTCGCAAAGCTGATGCGCAGGAAATCGCCATAAGAGTCACCGCAATGAGCGATGCCATCGACTTCTTCAATCTGGCTCCGACCGACTGCAATAAGTCAGCACTACGTCAAACACAATCCGATCTGAGTGTATACAAGGAAAACGATTCAAGAAAGAGATGCAATGAGCAAATTCGCAGCCGATTTACATCGTAGTGAGCGAGCAACAAAGCAGATTTTTCGGCCACCAAAACAGACTGTCTTAGGTCTCCCATCGCCGAAACTCAACGTGGCGATGGTTTGAGGAGCGAAGACCCTGTTGAGTCCGAGGCGGGACACTGCAGGAATTTGGCGGCAACTATTCCAATCGACTTTGCCGAATCTTCATCATTTATGGTTTGCATCATATCAGCCACTTTGCTTAGCGCGAATGCTACGTTAAACAATAAGCCAGTACAACAGCGTCTGCTCGGTGCGCTCATCACGGCAAATAGTTTATGCTGGGCGATCATGAAGTCCACCAATGGAAAAGCGCCGGGCCCCGACGGATTATCGATTGAGTACTACAAGATTTCGCCAGCCTGAGGGCTCGCATATACGAGGTTACACATCAAATAGTCATCAAAGGGAAAGATGACTAAGTTTCAACGACGGGCGCACCTTTCGCTGCTATACAAGACTGGAGGTAGATCGCAGCCTGAAAACTACCATTCATTGACGCAGCTGAACCTTGATGCCAAGCTTGGTCCCAAGATTCTGGCGCGGAGGCAAGGACTTCTGCTTTTTTCGCTGATATATGATGATCAAAGTGGGTTTGTACCTAATAGATTATCCGTCACACTCTTGAGACTTACAAGAATCATGCAAGCACACTTACCCGGACGTTTGTGCTATTCCTATTGATTTCGCCAGCAGCTCCAATAGTGTACTATGGCCAGCATTGGACATGGTACTGCATCACTTCTGATTTGGTACGACCTTTCGAGCCCGGATGAAAACATTCTGTAAACCGAACTTCTGGTTCGTTTGCTGCTGGACAGCTCACCAGGCTTGCGGTTGTAAGGGCAGGAGCTTCTCGAAAGCTCTTCTTCACTTTGGCAATTACCACCTGGTGCTCTTTTGAACTTTCCATCCAACGTTTGTGCTCAAAAGCGTCTTTGCAAGTCACGCTCACGCTGTGTAACGCGCGTGTGTTTTGTACAGAGTTGACCGAGCCCAGCCATTGTCTTAGCTTTTTCACATTGCTGGGTGCGTGTCAGTCATTGATGGCTTTGACTTTCTCAGGATCTACACGAGCACCATTCTTTCCCACAAAGCAAACGAAAACGGGAATCTTAGGCGCAGAGAAAATGCACATTCTAGGTTAGTGCTAAGCTTGTTCTCTCGTATCTAAAGGTAGACCTGATAATGATGATCAGCATGAACATCTAAATACCCATTTCTCACTTTAGACGAATGTATCTTCGGTGCAAAGCATCTTTATGGACGAATAACATTTGTGTTTATGAAAGGCGCAGAAGCGTTATTTAAATCTTGTGGCATCGCTAAACCCACAACATTAAACTGAAGGTACTGCTACAGAAAGTGATCTGTAAGAAGCCATCTTCCAGATCGATTGCAGTGATGGCAGTACTACCAGCCGTTCCATCAAGGATCTTATTCATGTGTGGAATTGGAATCTGCTAAGCACGGTTGCATCATTTATCTTATTAAAAGCATAGACAGTGCACCGTCTACCAGTCGCAATCTTCACACAAGATTTGAGGCCAACGTGAAGAGTTGCTCTCCAACGCATGAACAGCCTTCTGTGTCCGCGCAGAGAGATTATTGATTGCAGCGACAATTTTTTTGCACAGCCACTGCCGCGTGATACAATACTTCGTACTGGGAAGCTAGTTAATAGTATGACAAATGGCTCTATCAGATAATATTTTGTTTTTTGAGAGTATATTTCTACATGTCTTGATAACTTTGAGCGCATAATAGATTTTAAAGCCTTATCAGTACACAGTACAAAATGGATAGATTCATCGTCGAACTTCTCGACAGTCACACAAACCTGAGCATTGTCGCCCTCCTCTACGCTACGCTACATTATTTTGTTGCTCATTACCAACATAAGAAAACGTTTTTGATTGAAGGAGATAATTTTTTAAAGTCACATGTAGATAACATCAACGTCAGCTTACATCTATTACGAACTTGCAAAAATCTTCATTGGTTTTGAATACTTTTTTGATTTACCCAATTTGTACATTGATCGAAGGCACGCGAATAATTGACGGGTCTGGGGTGGGTCTTTAATTCTAGACTATTATTCATTTTACCAGCGCTCAGGACTATGACAAAATAATCAGTCCTCGTCTCACACAATACAGCTCCAACTTAAGTAGATGTCGATTCTTGGTATTTCTAGGCGAGCTTGGTGAGCATGGGAGCCATCGCACACCAAAATATCACTTGGATCATTCATGACTGTCGATCAGCATTTCATTCGAAAGTTTTATGAAGCTTTTATCATGCACCATTTTCACTTGGTGCTGTCCTGTTCCAATTCATTAGTATCAAGGAAAATGCAAACTGCTCATCGGCAATGGATTTAATTTCGCATATTACTGTTGATATTTCTTGTCACTTGAACCTGGCGCCTGTATTGATGCTTTTAAGCAGGCGTTAATAGCTTTCGTCTGGGTCCCTTTAGCAAAAAAAATTTTGCCTGGATTATGAGCACTTGTTGAAGGGTTTTGACTTCTGATCAGCAGCTTAAAATTCATTCCAATTCTTCCCTTCAAGCAATCTGGCTTCCCTACGCGAAATGATCTAGAATGCTGACTGATTGAAGATTAACAAGTCGATTGAAGTGAGCTTATTTCTTAAATATCTGCAAACCGTTTCGATTTAGATTACAGCAGTGCCAATCTTTTCGTCTATCGTACGTTTTGCTAAGACATTTTTGGAAGGAAGGCCTTCAAATAACTTTGGGCCCATCCATGGGATAAAGAATTCCGATGGCTGTCAGCTGCAATCATGATTTACTTGTGCATTCTGATTTGTCCATGTAGGCTTTTTTCCTCAGATTATTTCGAAGCAAGTTGTGGTCGTGTATTCTCTAAACTTCTACGAATTCAATTGTTCATAAGAAGCACTTCCAACACCAAATATGAAGCTGCGATAGCTCAAACACTTCAAGGTCAGACCGCTAGCTGACGTAGGTGCTACATTGCTTTTAAAATTGTATCATGGTATATGTCTTTCTTTAATTTCTAGTACTCAGTGTGTAAAGTCAAAGTTAGTTGCAAACCCGTGTAAAATATATCTCTTTGCGGTTAGTACCTCTAGCAAACCAAAATGATTGCAAATAGCCGACTAAGTTCGTAACACATATCAATGTTTGCAGTCTTCGATATGCACGAATCCGGCTCCGCATCATCAATTGCAAAAGCAAATTTCTGAAAGGTTGCCTACACTCCCAAGTCCACCAACAGTGCGACGACCTCTCAACGGATACAGCTCTCTGTGATTGATAAATATCTTGCAAATTGTAGGACTTCAACTGATTTTTGTCGTGATGCATGCGCCCAGACGCTTTTGCGTCAGACCCAGCTCTTGACTTTCCGAATCTTCGGCAATTTCCAAAAACAATAGTCAGCAGACCATATCTAGCGCGATTTTATCGCAGTAAGCTTTATTGTTTTTGCGAAATGAAAGCACGGCAAGCTTTCTCGTCTTCATCTATTGTGCCCCATCCATTTGTACGGTCAGCTGAGTTACATCATGTGTTTTGTTTGGAGCGAACGGCCGAGAAAGCGCATACTAGCTTCCACTAGCGATATGTATTTAGCATCAATGCAGCGGGGCTGCCGTAGCTTTGCCCTTTGAGGAAGCGTAAATTAGGTCACCGACCTCTCGTTCTATACTCAGAACAAGTACGAGTTTAGCAGATCGCAAACCGCTTACTCAGAGGTAATTATAGCCTTATGCTAATTCGGTTAAAATTTAAAAACTGACTTTATTTATTTTTATCTGCGGCAATACCGCCTTATTTTAAATGCATAAAATTACCTAAATATAAATAGTAAAATCTCAATACGTACATAACTACTGGCTACCTAGCCACGAATCCAAACTCTTATTTTGTGCAGTCACACCATGCCCATCTTGTGTGACAGACACCCCTATTACCAGGGTATGTGTAACCCCGTCATACTCTCCTCCATTAGAATAGAGAACATTTACATTTCCAATCGATCACTGTCTCAACGAGGCTTTCATGTCCGTTTGGCACTGCGCTGGAGCATAACGACTTCAGTGCTCAATGAGCCCTGTGTCAATGACACCGAAGTCTCCAAGTCTCGCTGGTTCCGAC